CATCTCTGCCCTTCCCCACTGTTAGCCTTGCTACTCTCAGCTGTCAACCTTGCCCCTCCCCCTCTGTAGGCCAGGCCCACAGCCCAATGGGAGGCAGAGTAGGGCCATTTTATTGTTCTCTAGCACAGATGACAAGGATGGAGCTGCCTACACACTCAGGGGTGCTGCCCAGCTTCTGTCATGATAGACAGTGCTCCCTCCCAAAACACCCATTCCCAGAAGAGTCAGTGGGTAGAGGTGGTGCCTCCCTGGGGGTCTGGGGTGAGTAATCCTTAGGATAGCCCAGTGGTGCAGGTGTCTGGGCCCTGGCCTCTGGACAGCTTCTGGGCCTCCATCCTCCACATCACCCACTCTCAAGTTGGGCAGGAAGTGGTCATGGCAGACCATTTCTCAGGACCCCTGCTTCCCTCCTCTTCCATAATGCTCTACAAACCTGTTACCTTGAAGCTTGCAGGACCTTAGCTAGACCGGAGCCCATCTAATGTGATTGAAGGATCAGACTTCTCCCTGCTCTTGCCTCCTCTGTCTGCGAACCAATTCCAGCCCCACCTGCCCATCCCAACACCCCAAACTCCACAACACCCCAAATCTAGTCCTCCAGACACTGGCCTCCCAGACAAGCTCAGTGCCTCCACGCTCCTTGGTGACTCCTCACGACCACCCATAGACATGCTTTCTTTCCAAAGGCTCAACACAGCACCCATGCACTGCTCCAGGACCACCCCTGCACACGGCCAGCAACTTTTCTTCCTTTTTAGATTTTTATTGTGCTTTGAGTGGGTTTACAGAGCAGCTTGGTTCCCATTCAGCCGTCCTCATGCATTCTGGTGTTAGGACATTGATCACAGCCCCACACAGCAGTGCACTTCTGTCTCCTCCCTGGGATGCTCTGTGAGGTGGTCTTCTTTCTGCCAGAGTTAACAGGGTTCCAAAGGCAGCCCAGCTCCAGATTCTGTGCACATCAACAGGTTCCAGAGACCTAGATTGGAACCGATGGACTGGGCAGCAGGCTGGGCAACAGACAACTTGGAAAACTGTAGGAAGCAGGGAGCTCTGTCCACAATTCCCAGTGCCCCAACAACCCCAAAATCCCATCTCTACATCTGTGCCATCAATGCCCACACCCTCTCCCATGAAACCCTCTTCCTGTTTAAGGGATTTTAGATAGCCCCTGGTCCCATTAGTATCCACAAAGCTTGGGACAGATCTAGATTTAGTGTGCAGCTTTCTGCGGCCAATCCAGGACTCTGTCCCTGGCCCCCATTACTGGAAAAATCTCCAGAAGCATCTTCTTACCCTCTCCACCTCCTGCTTCTGCTTGACCACTGCTGAGCTAGGTAGCACCGCAGGCTGCAGTGACCCTGGCCTACCTTGGGGTGGCCAGCAAGGTACTTTCTGCCCCCACAAATGCTACCCTATTTCTCCCCCATTCCTGGTTCAAGTAACCTCACGAATCCCACTTTTCTCTCAGTATGTTTGGAGTCCTGCAGACACTTCACACATTGCTGTCCAGGACAGACACCTGGTGTCCGGCACCCACAGTCTGTCCTGTCTCCCTGAGTGGCCTTGTCTCCTAACCTCACTGCTCATGTGATCATCTGGGATCCACACACATGACTCCTCAATTCTGCCCCAAGTCACTGTCCCTTCACGTGGATGGTGGATCTGAACCCCTAATGCCCCCTGAGCTGTCGCCAACCCTGTCTGTGCTCCCCTACCTCTACACCTTCAGCCCCACCCCTACCTTACCCCATCAGTCCCATTCCTCCCCCAACACCATCAGCCCCTCCAAGCACCCGACTGCTCCTAGGCACTGTACAGCCCCAAGCTGAAAATACCTTTCCCATAGACAACCAGGTTCTAACCAAATGTGGCGTTCTCAGACCTCTCACACAAACCACAACCTCCCCTTTCTTCTGTCCCCAGCTTTATGTTCCTGTCACCATCTGCCTGGATAGGCTACTGGAGGGGCCAGTCCCAGGAGAAGGACATCATGCTTGATTAAGAAGTGGTGTTAGGTTCCATTCGGTTGACCAGGACTCATAGTAACCCTATGAACAAGATTGTAACATTGCCCTGTCTGGTGCCACCCTCAAGCCCACTGCTGGAGTCACTGGATCGATCGATCTATCTCATTGAGGGATTCCTCATTCAGGTGGCCTAGTGGTGAAAAGTTGTGCTGCTAACACAAAGGCAAACAGATCAAATCCACCAGCTGCTCCACAGAGGGAAGATGGGTGGTCTCCTCCGGTGGGATTTACAGCTTCGGAAAACCTGCTGGAGGGTCAGCTAGGAGATGGTTTCAACTCCATGACAGTGAGTTGTTTTTCTACTTTTCTGAGCATCATGTCCTTTTCCAAGGACAGGAGCTTCCTGACAATAATTCCAAAGTATGTGCAACAAAGCTTCCTGACCCTTGCCTCTCAGGAGCACCACCGCTGCACTTCCTCCAAGGCACATGCTTGTTCTTCTGACAAACCGTTGTTTATTCACCCTCTTCACCAACACCACAATTCCAAGGAATCTATTTTTTGGTCTATTCTTGTTCAACTTTTATATATGGCTTCAACACAGCGCAGGTTGTGGGGTGGCCAGGATCAGGTTTCTTTCTGTTGTTGTGTATGGGCCGCCCACTGACACATAACCACGACAGCAACAATAAGATGCCCCAAAGCCCAGGTCTGTCCATGCCAGAAGATGCTCGTCTTAGTCCTGCCCATAGCCCCAGCCCACAGTGAAGACTAGCTGGATGTCAGGCACTGTTTCCACTCTGCTCCATGAACCACACTGAATAAATCATGTTGCCCTTGTAGTCAAGCACAGCCAGTCAGGCAGAAAGCTCAGAGGGCTCGCTGTACCCTGCTTCTCTGTAGCCCGTTTCCTGTGTGACCCTGAGCCGGTGATGCCAGAGCTGCCCATGCTGGCCCATGGCAGAGTGCACTGGAGGTTTCTGTCATGGCTGAATGGGTGCGCTCTGAGGACACAAAGCTCAGAGATGACAGCTTCAGAAGGGGGCTGATAATAGGGACAGAGTGCATGGTGGCAGTCCAGGATGGTACACTTAGGTGCCGAGGCGAGAGAAGAGACTTGCTGGACAACTATGAGAAGACACCCAGCGGTGACGGAGCCTCATAGGGCTGCTTCTTGGGGAGGGCTGCCCTTGCCCCATTCATGGGTGTCAGTGAGGTGAGCCCATGCCTACATCCACCCTAAAGTCACAGCTCTGTTGGTCCAGCGCTGCAGACAGTGTGAGGATGGGGTCATGGAGGCTCAGGGCTGCCTAGGACACATCTGCTGAGTGGAGACCATCTCAACCCAGCTCCTTCCTACTCCCATCTCACCCTATAGCCCTCTCCAGAGGTCCCCTGGACAGAGGGGGTTTCTTCTCAGTTAGGGGTCACAGTACAAATACTGCTTTCTGGGCCTCTCTGAGTAGCACTGTCCAAAGCTGCTTCCTCTCCAGGTAAACACACACACAAGCAAACACACTCATGTGCACACACGTGCCCGTACAAATACACATGCACACCCAGACACACACAAGAACACACCTGTGTGCATGCACACACAAGCACAAAAGCACAGGCACATGCAAGCATACACACACATGTGCACACTTGTGTGCATACAAATGAACAAGGATCTATGTGCACGCAAGTACACATGCACACCAGGCACACATTTGTGTGCACACAAGCTCATCCAGACACACCCACATGTGGGCACACACATGCACAAGGATGCACACGCACACCCAGGCCCAGATGAGCACACGGACGTCCAGGTATATGCAAACATGGCTGTGCGTGCACACACAAGTACACATGCACACCCAGGTACATACACAGGTGCATGCCCAAGAACATGTGTGCATACATGTGCATATGCACACACATACATAAGGACACCCATACACATGAAAGCACATGCACATTCAGTGACAGTCTCCCAGCTGTAGCCTGTTTGATTCCATGTTTTTTCCAGCAAACTGTGTGCAGCCTGCATGTGGCACAGATATAGGGCCTAATGCATGACCTAATGGAGTGAAAAGGCAGACTCAGTAAATGCTTGCCAAGATGCCTGTCTCAGTGCACACCTCCTGTCCTCTCTGGAGCACTATGCTCTCTCCCACCCTGCCTCTTCCCCCACCCCCGCCACTGGCTCTTTCACTTACTCTAAATAGTCTGAGGCATCAGGGAGCCCTGGTGATACAGTGGGCACATCATTTGGCTGCCAACTGAGAAGGTAGGGTGCAAACCCAGCAGCTACTCCTCAGTAGAGAGGAGTGAGTCTTCTTTCCATTAACATCTACAACCTTGGACACTTACGGCCTCAGACACTCGCTGGACACTGCTATGGCTAGGGATGGGCTCAGAGGCAATAGGTTTTGGTTTACTTCACTGGCCGCTGGGTCTGCAGCCCTCCACGTGAACGGCATCTAGTGGGGCACAGGATTCACCATGTGCTCAGAAATAACATCTGCTGTCCTTACTTTACAGAGCGGAAGGGTGGGCCAGACAGTGAGGAGGAGATGAGGTGGGGGCTCCAGATGTCTGTCCCTGCCAGAGGCCCTCCAGTTCTGCAGGAGGTGTGTGCTCCTAAGGTTTGTCCACCACCTGCAAGGGGCGCTCGCAGCCACTTTAAGAGGGTCGGAGACTCTCAGGTCCAGTCTTTCCCCACACCCTCTTCCTAATTAGTGCTTTCCAGGGCTGACGTTCCCCTTGGTAAATACGTCCTATTTCCAGAGCCCACTCAGTCACACAGAAGGCCCTGCTGCGGACGCACTGCTCTTGAGTGTGAGGCAGAGAAGACAACAGCAGCGCTGCCGGGTGCCTGGAGGCGCACACACAGCCGTACCCGCAACCAGCACTGCCGGGGGAGGGGGGGGGTGTCGGTAGTTAAGTGCAGGCGTGTCCCCTTGGCGTGGGATGGTAGACTGCTGTGGAAGGGAGTCTGGAGACTGCTCTGGCAATCCCTCCAGATTTAGCCCAAATACCCAGCTCCTCTTTCTGACTCCTATCCTCTCCCGCGGCGCCAGCCCAGCACGCTCCTTCCGCTTCTGCCTGGTCAACTCAGGGCAAAAAGTGACCGCCCAGAGGGAGCGCATCCGGCGGCGGCGCAACCGCCCGCCGCTCCGGGGAGGGACTTGGCCTCAGTTGAATCTGAGGCCCAGCTGGGGAGAAGCAGCCCTAGGCCGGGCTGGGCGAGAGCAGGGGCGGGGGCGGGAGGGTCCATCGCGCCAGTGTCTGCAGCGACCATGGCTCCTGCCTACCCTTCTCTGGTCTCGCTTTCTGTCTTCTCCCCGTGAACTGCGAGCAAAGAGGTCCTTTCTTCGCCTGCTCCTGGCTGCAGAGGCCTTGCGGGCGCGGCCAAGGGGAGGAGAAAGGAACGAGCAGGACCGGGTTCGGCTGTGACTCTCTCCAGCGCCACGGCTCCGCCAATCGGTGCGCTCTGACGCGGGGAGGGCGGCTCCGCGGGTCGGGATATCTGCCTGCCTCGCTCGCGGGGGGCGCACGGAGGGGCTTGGGCCCGCGGGAGCCGCTGCTGCAGGACTCGGCCACTGCACCTGCCCGTCCCGCCGCGCCGCGCCCACCTCTGCTCGCGTACCTGGTTTTCTAGCCTCGCGGCCTGGCGTCTTCGTCCTTCCTCCCAGTCTCCGCCTCGCGGCCAAGCTTGACAGTGCCGAGCCCTGCCCTAGAGCCACCAGGAGGAACCGCTTCGCTCCGCCCGGAGCCCTCAGCGGGGAACGCGCCGGGATCATTCACGCCTGGCCTCGCCCACTATCCAGGCCTGCTGCTCCCCAGTCAGGAATGGGTAGCCGCGTTGGACCTCCGCACGCCTGATGAGCTCGGCTTAGTCCCCGCAGCACCGCTACAGCCACTGTGTGCACTCGGGTATCCCTCGGCTGCGACCCAGGCCCCCGGTCCACAGCGTCCCGCGCCACCGCCTAGCACCTCGAGCCCCACGGGCCAGGGACCCGAGGCCTGGCCGCTGAGGGCGCGACCCCACTGGAGAAGCCAGGAGAGGTCGAGCCCAGGGATGGCTGGGCGGGCGGGGACTCCGGCGGAGGGCTCCTTCGGCGGAGTCCTGGCCCGGGCGCCCTACCGCGGCTGGTAGTCGGCAGAGCGCTGGATGGACTTTGACCTGCGAGGCGCGTCCAACTGCAGCCGAGGCTGAGGGGCGGGTGGCGTTCTGAAGGGGGCCGACTCCAGCGCACTCGCGCGCGGCCATGAAGATGATCCTGGTGCGCAGGTTCCGCGTGCTCATCCTGATGGTGTTCCTGGTGGCCTGTGCGCTGCACATCATGCTGGACCTGCTGCCCAAGCTGGAACGGCGCTCCGCGCGGCCGGCAGGCGAATCCGGCTGCTCGTGCGCGCAGCCTGCAGCAGAGGTGGACGCCCCCGACTGGGCCCAAGCGCGCGGCCGACCCGGGGAGCCCCCGGCCGCCGCCGCAGCTGCGGAGCCCGGCTGGCCCAACAAGCACACACTGCGCATCCTCCAGGACTTCAGCTCCGACCCTTCCTCCAACCTGACGTCCCACTCGCTGGAGAAGCTGCAGCCAGCAGAGCCTGCCGAGCGGGCCTGGCGAGGACGGGACCTGGGCGCCACGCAGCCCCGAGACTCTGCACCTCGACCGATGCTCCGTGACCACGGCCCACGGATTTCAGCGCCGCCTCAGGGTCCCAGCGGGGAAGGGTCGCTATTGGCCAAGCTGTTTGAACACCCGCTGTATCGAGTGGCCATTCCTCCGCTGACAGAAGACGACGTGCTGTTTAATGTCAACAGCGACATTAGGTTCAACCCCAAAGCAGCAGAGAACTCAGACTGGTGAGCGGGGTCCTCACCCTCCTGTGGTCAGTGGGTGCTGGCTGGATGGGTACCATGATGCATGCTGAGGGCAAACGCCAATGTGTGCACTTGGGTCCCCATGATATCCCTGCATCCCAGCTGTGCAAGCAGCCCAGGGGCCCCTGGAGGAGACGCTGCTAAGGAAGCTATGTGGGGTGAGGCTGCCAGCTCGCAGGCAGAGTCTCTGGTCAGCACTCTTTGTTTCCCTTGCCTCCCCGAGGCTGGTGTTTGTGAGAGGAGCTTTCCTGGGGGCTGGTGGGAGGGCATGCTAGAACCGGAGCCCCATACAGTCAGGAAGCAGTTACCAAACCCTTTTTTGGAGAGCCTTAGTTTCCAGCAGGTCACTGGCCTGAAGACATGGGTCAGCAGGAAACGACTGGGTCAGGAATCAGTGAGTAACAAAGGGGCTCCGCTCTGAGCCGGCAGAGCTCTAACAGGGAGGTGACAAGGAGGGAGGACTGCTCCAGAGCACCTCACAACCCCTAACCGCCCCCTCAAGGCCTCCCTCAGCCAGACAGTAAGCAGATGCTGCAACCTCAGTGGTGAAATATTAACCACCCAGGGCAGAATAAACAACAACTTGCAGGAGAGTCTCTCAGCACCCCAGCTGTGGGGGGCGGGACCCCAATGCCTGGGAGAACCCCTCTTATTTTCAAGGCCTCTGATTTCTGTCCTGGTCACAGTTACGGTTGGGGATCTCAAGCTTTATCTGCTGGTCAGGCCTGAGGAAATTCCCAGAAACCCTGGAATCCCAGCCGTGGACCAGCCCTGGATCCTCCTGGTTGTAAGTGACCACAGCCTCTGAGAGGTGCCCGAACCCATGTCTAGTGCTCAGGAACTAAAGCCAGCTGACCAGAGGGCCTGTCTTCCTACATGCTGTCCCCTCACCCCAGCAGTGTATGGCCAGGAGAGCTGGCAGTGGTTTGAAGCCTGGTTAGCTTGAGGGCGGCTGACTTGCTGGCCCTCCCTCCTCACCCAAAATTGTGCTACTTAGAATCAAACTCAACCTCTTGTGGTTCTGACTCCTGAAGATGAACCAAAGGCCCAAGGAAGATTCCTGAAGGTGAGATAGCCCTGCTCCTATCCCCAGGGTGGCCAGCAGCCCACATGTCAGACAGCTTAGGGATCTGGTAATTCCTGATGGAACAGAGAGTGGCCAGCTAGTGCTGACGCTGGACTTGGTCTGACTTTAGCTGTAGCTTGTTTGGGGCCTTTGAGCTTCTTGATAAATCTTGGCCTCAGGGTGTTATTAGTGAGAACAACGCCATAGGGGTGACGAGCCTCTCTGGAGCATCTGGCCCATCCTCCAGCAGCCTGCACACACAGTCTGCTTTCCGGACTTTGCAGAGTGCATGTTTCTTTATTATCTCTACTCCCTGCAGGCCACAGGAGAGTAACCAAGGGGAAGACTCCCTGCCCACGGGGCCCGTGGCTGTGGATGCCTATCCAAATTGGCTGAAATTCCACATTGGTATCAACCGCTACGAGCTGTACTCACGACACAACCCTGCCATCGAGGCATTGCTGCATGACTTGGGCTCCCAGAAGATCACCAGCGTTGGTAGGTGCCCTGCGTGCTGGTGGGTAAGTGGGCAGGCAGGTGGGCAGGTGCGGGTGTGCATGCATGTGCATAAGGGCCAGCCTTCCTGGGCTGCTGCCCAGGCTTCTTAGGACAGCTCTTCCTCTGTGAGGAGCAAAGAACCCCATGTTTGGTCAGAGGTCTTTGCTGTGGCCTTGAGGACAATAGGCCAATGGGCTGGCTGCTCCTCTGCTGTGAAAGCAAGGGAGTTGGGAGAGGGAGATAGAGAGAGAGTTAAGGAAAAAGGCAAGAAGTGACACGGAGAAACACAGAATGAGAGAGGCAGAGAGTTGGAGACAGGGAGACAAAAATACAGAGAGAGAGAGATGCAAAGACACCAAAGAGAGAGATGCAGACACACAGGGGAGAGAAAGACAGGGAGAGAGATGGAGATATGCCAAAAAAGACCAGAAGAGACCCAGAAAGAGGCAGGGAGAAAGACAGAGAAACTGAGGCAAGGACAGAAAGAAGAAAAGAGAAACGAAAGAAAAAAACAGAGGGAGGGAATGTACAGTCCTCACCCAACTGTGTTGAGTTGACACCCCGAGCTGGTCCCAGGAAAGCACTGATGGGCACAGATAAAGAAATGAGAAGGTGACCTGCCTGGCTGACCCCCATGCCTGTGACCGCCTGGCTGACCCTTGACTGTGATCCCCCTGGTTGATCTTCTGGGTGTTGCTTGTCCAAATGAATGACCCTACTGGGCAAGAGTCCCTCCATTTGAGGCTTCTGGTGCCTAATGACCCTGCCTCTGTCCCTTCTGGGACCAGGAGCAGGGTGAACAGTCGGGCCACCTTCTTAAAGTAACATGGGAGCCCTAAACAGACAGCCACTTGCAGGGAGAGACAGAGACTGAGTGTCTCCAAGAACTGAAGGGCCGGCCATGTCTTCTGGCAGGTCCCTGCTCAGAGCAAGATATGGACAAAAAGAGACAAGAAGTCACAGTGGCCACAGCAGTAGTTCTGAGAACTTGTATCTGGAGGTGGAGACACCAGGGAGCAGGCCGACTGTAGACAGATGCTCAGGGTTCCAGGCTCTCTTCTCTCTCTGCCAAGGGGCCACTTGAAATTCTGGTCATTCATGTCACCAGTCAATGTAAAGTCTAAAGGCCACTGTAATGGAGAAGGTCCCAGCCACTCTCAGGCCCCACACTCTGCCTGGCACTAGGCACAGCTGGTCTAGTCAGTGGCCACAGGCTGGCTACCTGGTCATGGCAGGGTGTCATCCATTCTTACTCAGCCATCATACACAGCTAGGATGTGGAGGTGGCAGCTCACTGCACAACTCTGTCCTGGGCATCACCCAAGAGCAGCAGTCACTGCCTTCCAGGGTGTGGTGGCCTTTGTCCTAGTCTGAGCTCACAGATGATGGCATGGTTGGGAACTGAGGCTGTACAAGGGAACTACTCCACAGGATGGAAGTCCTGGAATGGACAGGTCTGCTGGGGGCACTGAGCTGTGTCCACCACTAATTGGTTCAAAGTTGCCAGGGGCCTGAGGGCTGGGATCCCTCAGAAAGCAACACCAGCCCCAGAAAGGTCAGGCCTCCTCTGCCAGGGCACAGTCCCAGGTTGGGATGCTGGAGGGACAGAGGCCACTGGACAGAAAGAAGGACACCTCTAAGGGTGCTGAGGGTTGTGCCTCCTCTGGCACTCATCCTGGAGGTGGCCAAGGTGTAGAGCTACTAAACTCTGGCTTTATGGCTACCATGCGGGCCCTCGGGGCCTCCCATGTCCACCCTCCCCTCAGCCCCATGACCCCTCACATAACAGGCTGAAATGCTGCCTGTGTTGCCTGATGGTCAGCTTGTGTCTACATGGTGGGCACTGTGTTTTGAGTGTCGTCCAGCCCAAGGACACATCTCCCCATGCTGCATGGGAGCCAGAGGGCTGCTGGTGGTACAGTGGACATTTGGCAAGGACATCAGTATGGGGACATCTGGTAGCACACTGGACAGTGGGCAGGGACAGCAGTGTGGTGGTCAGGCTGCATCCTGTGCTCCATGGGGAGAGCTGATGGTGCAGTGGACACGGCATATGGTCATAACAGGAGTGGTCACAAGGAGCAGACTTGTATGATACTTTCTTGTCAAGGAGTCCAGAGTACAAACTCAGGGGAATAATTAATCCAGGGACACTCCATGAGAGAGGGGATAACCACAGGTTGTCAGGGGCCAAAGGCTTTCCATAAGCCTGTGTGTCCTCATGACAGCGTGGTAAAGAAGTGGACACTGTAGAACCTTGCGAGGTGTAGATGGGGGCGGATGGGAGTATCAAATCACCAGCAACTCTCCTGAAAGAGCCTCCCAAGTTGACGAGCTCAGTTCTTGACTGGCTTTCCTTCATGGAGGCAGCAAGTAACTTGGTCTCTCCCCGTCTCTTGCAGCCATGAAGTCGGGGGGCACACAGCTCAAGCTCATCATGATGTTCCAGAATTACGGGCAGGCGCTGTTCAAGCCCATGAAGTGAGTGTGAGGCCAGGTGACCATACGGATGTGTGTGTGTGTGTGTGTGTGTGTGTACTTACAGGGAGAGAGCAGAGGACAGTATAAGTGGGGGGGTGCCTGTGGGAGGGGGAGTGTAGGGTGCACTGTGACGTGGGGGGTGTCTGTGGGAGGGGGAGTGTGGGGTTCACTGTGACGTGGAGGGTGTCTGTGGGAGGGGGAGTGTGGGGTGCACTGTGACATGGAGGGTGTCTGTGGAAGGGGGAGTGTAGTAGGGTGCACTGTGACATGGAGGGTGTCTGTGGGAGGGGGAGTGTAGTAGGGTGCACTGTGATGTGGGGGGGGTGTCTGTGGGAGGGGGATGTGAATGTGTAGTGGCATCTATGCGGAGGTGGTTTTTGTGTTTATCACACACTGAAGGTTGCTGGCCACCCTGTGTCAGTTAAGTCTGTGGACACCATTCTTCCCACAGCACGCGCTCACTGGATGCCTCTGTCCTGTTTTGCTTGTTCTCACCTTTCAAGCTTTACTGTCGTGCTCTGGTGACTTGGTAGTAAGGTGCTGTGCAGCCGTCCCAAAGGTAGACAACTTGGATCCAGCAGCTGCTCAAAGAGAGGAGGGTGGGCAGTCCCCTCCCATGTGATTCATAGCCTCTGAACCCCCTAGAGGGTCAGCTCTTGGTCGATTCCAACTCGTGGGCACACAAAAACAACACTGGACACTGGATGGCAGTGTCCATATAACCTCTGTGCTCAGGGAAAATGGAATAGTAAATGGCTGGCTTTATAGCCGTACCCATTTCCTTGTGGGGTCTAGAAGCAGATATGCGACCTTGTAAGGCCAGCCTGTAGGACTGTCTAGCTTTGTGCATCATGGGGCTCCCAGCTATCAAGCCCGTCTCCCTCAGAATGCAATCGCAGGCAGCACACGTGGGCATGGCTGGGTCCCCATAAAACTTTATTTCTAAAATATGATGTCTCACAGACAGTGTTTGGCCTCATGTTTCTGTGTTACTAAAGTGGAAACTGTGCTCTGGAAATAGATTCTAACATGCACTGTGTCCATGGGAACCTGTGCGATTGGTGAGTGGGAATGTTTGAAAGCCAGACCATGACAGGAAGTTCTGGACGTATCTGTGGTATGATGGACTTGGGTGTTTCCAATGGTCCAGGGTAGTTCCACCATCACTGGTCAGTCCACATAAGTTTCTGCTGTCTGGAAGACTGAATGGTGTCAGAGCCTGGGCAGCAGGCTCAGATGCCTATAGATATACAGGCTTTGCTGACCTGTGCGTGAGGCTGTTGGGCTGGATGAGAACTGTGGAAAACTGCAGAGTGGAGCTCCCATCTCATGCTCTTCGAATCTTTACTGTGGGAATGTAGGTCTGACTTCCAGTCTTCTGAGGAAGCTGGTAAGGCAGATACTTTTTCTTGTTAGTCTCTAGATTTTGAAGATGATGACAGTGAGCTCACAAGTGATGCAGACCTGGTCATAGTAGCTTGTGGCTGGGGCCATCTTTTAGCTCAGCCTTTTTTTCCCCTTTTATTAGGAAAAACATATTGGGGGTACAAGGAGGTGAGGGTTGGGGGCAGAAGGGTGAGGATGGGCCAGGATGCAGTTGCAGAGCTGCACAGTTTGGTCGGTGGGGGGAGCAGGTGAAGGAAATAATGAGGGTCCAGAGGGGACCAGATCCTACAGAGGAATGACAAGCATTTTCCAATGGTAATTAAACCAACTGTCTTATTGATTTGGGAATTGGATGCCGACTCTCTGGCTTCTTCATGCTGAACAGGGGCGTAGATGTAAAGGGGGGAAGGGAGGACACTTTACCACCTTACTGGTGGTCTTGGGTTAAAGCTGCTTGCCTTCATGCTCTGTTAGAAGATATTTTCCTGTCATTTGCTCCCCTCTGGACTGCAAAGTGTTTTCCCAGGTGGGTCCAGTGGGGATGGTTGGTTGAACCCAGAGGCTCCATCCTCTTTTGCTTCCTTAGCTGTCAGTTGTATTTCCTTTTTGTCACTGGCACTGGGTTTAGGGTCAATTCTGGAGTAAAACTCAGTATTAAGGTTACCTATAGGAAAGAGAGCAAACCTAGAGAGAACAAACTTGTGAGTTACAAATAGAAGGGCTTTGAAGGTGTTGCTTCCAGGTTTACTGGGGGGGAGGGTGGCAGAAGGTGGCCTAGGTAACATTCTCTGGATACCCTAGGCATTTTTTTCCCCCTTCCCCACCTAGGGGTCAGATGGCACAATCTGGGGACTGAGGAACTCACCCTGAGGGCCATGACAGCTCGCCCTGAGCCGGGGGCCAAGGGCAGCCCACCCTGGGCAGAGGGCTGTGACGGCTCGCCCCGAGCCAGGGGCCGAGGGCAGCCCACCCCAGGCAGAGGGCTGCGATGGCTTGCCCCAAGCTGGGGGCTGAGGGCAGCCCATCCCGAGCAGGGAAACACACCCCAGGAGCTGGCTGGTATACTCCCCCTCCAATTGCCCCTACCCCAGTCTGGTCCCCTCGCCTGACTGAGGACTCTGTGGTCAGGGATAGTGTCTCCAATTCCAGCACTGCCACTTTTACCCCCCTATAAGTGGTCATACTATATTTTGAAGTAGGTGTCACTGCCCTCCCCCTTTGTATATGATAAAGGGCACCTGAGAATTGTGAACAGACTCCCCCCAGGTCTAACCATCTTTTGGCAGAAGCATTCAACAGAACAAAATATGTGGTACATTTAGGATGTTGGTCCTCTTGTGCATGCTGCCACTGTTAAGGTCATCAGACTCACAGTGACTTTCAGCAATCCATTGTATAGGTAATCATCTTCTTTGGCCTGTCCAGGGAAACCCAAACCTGCAGATGGCGTGCATGCATCCCATCCCCCACCTCCTATGCAGGCGGCCAGTGGGGTGCGCGGCCCCCAACCCCTCCACATGGACGCTCAGCGGGTGCACGGCCCCTCTTGTGCGGGCAGCCGGCAGGCACCCACTTACCCCACTGCTACCATTCTGGCTCCAAGAATTCTCTCCAGAACAAGTCCACCTTGAGGCAGTGTGGTGGCTTCACTGTACCAGTCTTGAGGAGGGCCGGTGCCTAGCATCCGTCCTGCGTGAGGGAATCCATTGGTTCCAGCTGTAGAAGCCTCATGGAGCTGCAGCGGCTGTGCAGCATGGTGCAGGCTCTGCGGGAGGGGGTTGGGAGCCACGAGACTCACCCATTCCTCCTTGGGAATCCTTGAATTCCTGTTGTTGAGCCTCAATCTTCACTGAGGGTCAGTCATCAACTGTTTAAGTGTTCAATTATCAATAAGCCGAAGTCTGTAAAAGGCCATAATGGCCCTGCTTTAAGTGGTTCGCTGCTCCCGCAGCTCACCACGCTGTCTCTGCCTCCGCCGCCATCTTGGATCCCCTAGCTCAGCCTTTTGACCCCTACTCCTCTGGACACATGACTTAGTGGATACCACAGAGAGGCAGGGCCTGGGGCTCCCCTGAGGGTTTGACTGACTGGATCCTGGACTGCTGGGAGACCTGGCTGGGGACACTGAAAACTCCCACTAGACTGAGGACAGCTGTTGATGGGGATGGAAGGAGACTAGGGCCTTTGATGTGATGAGAGCTGGCAGCAAGATGCTAAGTGCCTGTCCATTCCTGAGTGCAGTGGCCACAGACTTGAAACCAGCATCTCATGGCTGTGTCTAAGGATGGGAAATCACATTTCATTCCCTGGTTTCTGAGAAAGTGGACAGTGGAGTGCCCATGCAGCCTTGACCTCACCGGGGAATTGGAGGGAAGAGAGCATGGATCTTCCCTCCCTTACTGGACCTTTTGGAGATAAACTCCCTCTCTGAGTTTTTGGGGTATAGACAGGGCTGTACTCTCCACAGCTCTTGGGGTACCCTTCCTGTCTCTCTTGGCTAGAACCCTGGGAATTCTGTTGCCTCCAAGGTGAATCCAGAGGTGTTTCAAATACCTCATCATACTGTGTAGGGAGATCAGGGGTATAGTTGATTGGGAGGTGTGCTGCTCCCCCAAAGGCCAAGCCTCTCTGACATTTCAAAGTGGGAAGCTCCATGGGAGAAGGATGGGCAGTCTCCTGTGCGATTTACACCCTCAGGAGACACATTGGAGGGTCAGGTAGGAGCTGGTTCTGACCCCACGACCATGATTTCATATACATGTGAAAGCTGAACAGTGTATAATAAGACTGAAGAAGAATTGATGCCTTTGTGTTGTAGTGCTGGAAAAGAGTATTGAATGTCCCGTGGATGCCAAAAGAACAAACATGTCTATCCTGGGAGAAGGGCAGCCAGGGTGCTCCTGAGAGGGGAGGATGGGGAGACGCCACCTCACCTTGTCACGAGGCATCAAGCCCTTGGAGAAGGGCCTCAAGCTGCAAAGGTGGAAGGTCAGAGGAAGGTCAGAGGAGAGGAGGAACCTCTGTGAGGTGGACAGTGACTGTAGCACTGGGCTCGAGCTCATCCGCAAGGAGGCTGGCACAGGGATGGTTCCTGCTAACAGCAGCTGAGTGCCTGTCTGTCTTCCGTGTGTCCACCTAGGACAACTATGCTCTTATTGACATTGTTCAGAGTGTTAAGAGCTCAGATTCTAATCAAAAGGTCAGCAGTTTGAATCCACCATCACTCCTGGGGTGAAAGCAGCCTGCTTCAGTATGATCACAGCCTTGGAAAATGCCTGAGGAAGTCGAGTCTGCCCCACAGTGTCACGGGGGACTGGACACAGGGCCTAGAGAATGGACTTCTGTTTATCAAAAGAAACTAGGTACAGACACCCTCATGCTCTTGTTAGCCCTACACAAAGGACTCCTTGTCTCCACATAAGTATGGGATGGGCAGGATTTCCATATGACTTCAGGGAGCATATCTCACCCCATGTCACTCAAGGACCACCCCTGTCTCCCTGAGTCTTGCTGTGCTCTGTCCATCAGGTCACATCAGGGCAGCCTCAGCCTCCCAGAAATGGGCACATGAATAGCTGCTAGAGGCCCTCACAGGTGCCAGTGCTGCTGCAAAC